CCTGAAGACAGAAACTCTGATTATGAGGAAAACTTAGGAGTACCTTAACTGGGTTATTTTTTGCCTATATTTTATTTATTTTTGTACAGTGTTGCAAGACACAAATTTGTTTTTTTTAAAAGGCTATCGGGGTATTTCAGAAAGTAAGAACACAGTTCAATTAGCATCATTTCATTTCTTTCTTAGCAGTATAAAAATAACACTATATTCAATAATCAAGAAAGCTTTACACTCAATAAAATATTTTTTACTATACATGCCAAACCTATTTTTGTCAGGAAATGATAAATCAACAATTTTTGAAGTCATAAGAAGGGAAATGATTTCAGTGAGTTTGAAAAACATATAAATAAAGGATTCGGTACAGAGGACGAACCTTGATCATCTCCGCCTCTATCTGCTGGTGAACACTCAGGTAACTTTTCTTCACCTGCTGCTTGTCCTTGATCATCATGGTGAGCCTGTGTAAGGGTCCAGAGTTGAGGTCCTCTGCGTGGGTCTTCATTATCCTACTTAGTTGTTCCGTCTGCTGAATCATAAGCAGCCAAGACTTGGGGAAAAAAAATCAAGTTAGTATTTGTATTAGAAGTTTCCATTTCACTGTGCTTTAACAGTTCAGAAATATTCAGTTTTACATTCATACTAAAGTGGCTTGTGAACAGCAGGAGGTGTGGGGGGCAAGGCAGCGGGATCCCACATGGCGGACTGTGCATGGACGCTGTCTTGGACCCTGCAGCTTGAAAAGCGTGCTGAATGTATGCCTAAATTCCACAGGCAGAAATGGAGAAGAGGAGACTGTGACATGACCATCCCCCATGGGGAGATGCTTTCTTGCTTTCTCTCTCTCCCTCTCTCTGTGTCTCTCTCTCTCTCTGGTGAGCACACATGCTAACGAAAAACTTTATCAACCAATTAAGGCCAGACATGTTGGTATGCTGGGTAAGTGCTACACAGCAGAAGCCAGATGCCACACGGCCAGTCAAGGTTCTAGTCCCCAGGGTGGTTTGGAAGCACACTGAGGCACATGTGTGCATGCCTAGGATTAGGATGGCAAGGAGAACTAGGGACAAAAGTTCTGTAGCATGACCAGGCCTGGCTGGGGGCCGCTCGCTCGTGCACTCTCTCTCTCCCCCCACCACTCTCTCTCATGCACACATGCACATGTGCTTTCTGCATTACAAGAGAATCATCGTCTCCTTATCTAACAACTCCAAAAGCACAGTGGATAATCAGAGCAGAGCCACGTTAGTCTGAGGTACAGATGGCACGCATTTTCCTATGTCACAGGGAAACCAAATTACTGGTTTGAGACTTTTACATTTTAGAAAACATTTCAGAATTCTGAGTGGTGTGTTCCCATCTCCCCAAACAGCTCAGCTGCATACTAAACAGTAGCCCAGGCTTCTAATACCCTAAAACGGCGGTTTCGCACTTAGGAAGTTAATGGGAGTACAGAGGGCCAGTTATATGAGCGTGCATAAATGACACAGAGAAAGTCAATTCTGCGGTCAGTTTTTTAAAAAGAGAAAACTATAGGCTGAGAAACATGCATATCCTTTAGAAAAGCAGGTCATGCCCTCTCTCACCTTCGACCTTTGAACGAACAGAAGTGAGAGGTAAATCAGTATGCTATCGACAAGCAGAAAGTTAAGTGTTCTGAGTTCCTTACACCAAAAGGTATTTATCTGGGACACTGAGTCAAAGAAGAAACTACTACTGGAGCCATAATTACAACAGGACACTGACAACAACCAACAAGATGATCACACTTGGCAATACCTAAATAACAGATGTCATAAAACGCTCTCAGGACGCTCCAGATCCTCCAACTAGTGCTTCCTTGTTTCTGGCTCGAACATTTTTTAACACAATATAAAAATTTCTGCAACACACAGTAACTCACGATAAATGGTTCTCTGAAACAACAGTTTTTATTCTGAGTGTGTCTATTATATACAGAGAATGCTTTCAGCGTCCTGTGCCCTTGTGAGATACAGAAATCCAGAAACAACACGTTACATTTCACGAAAACAGATTTTTCAAAAACTCAGATGCAAGTGCAAAGGAAACCTTAGATACTTCCCACTCTATTTCTGTATTTTTGTCAAAGCCTCCTGGTTTCCCTAGATCAGCGCTTCACAGTTCCAAGTACAAAAAGAAATAATTGGGGAGACCAGCAGTTAGTGTAATGGCTATGTTGCTGGACTCCCATGTAGGTGAAAACAGTTCGAGTCCCGGACCTAGTGGCTTAAACTCAGGCCGAGTGTGTGTGCATGCATGCCCAAGATCCCGAGAGGAGAATGGAGGAGAAGGGATTGCGGTGTGGCCATTCCCCCTGGGGAGTGATCTCTCACTTTCTGTCTCTCTGTCTTTCTGGCAAGCGCACACACCCTATAGCAAAAACCTCTCCCAAAAAATAAATAAATAAATAATTGGGAAGCTTTTAAAAAATACCAACATTAGAGGCAGTAGGTGGCGTATGGGTTAAAGGTATTACACTCTCACATGGCTGCCTGTGGTTAGAGCCCGGGACCTGGCAGTTTGCTCGCCCTCGCCCTCGCCCTCTCTCTCTCTCTCTCTCTCTCTCTCTCTCGCACATGTGCCTATAGCAATTTTTAAAAAATAATAATAATAAATAAAATTACATAATTACTTTAGTAAAAAACACACACACAATGTTTGAGTTCCACAGCCACAGATTCTGATTTAAGAGGTTTTGGATGGAGTCCCTGCATCAGGATTTTGAAGCTCCCCAAACAATTTTAATGTACCTGTTCTACTGTCGCAAAACATCTGTGCCCCTAATACTCACATTTGGACACAATAATTTGATTCTGAAGTCACACAATCGAAACCACAGGGTTTGACCCAGCCCCAATGCACGAGTGGGAGGGCACCGCTGTGCGGTGCTGAGCCTGCCCAGGGGGCCCAGTCTGACTCCCGGCTCAACAGGCTGTGTGTGCTGTGGTCCTCGCTAACTGACAGGCTGTGCAGGAAAATCACAACATGGCCAAACCCTGTCAGAAATACCTCTCTTGGAAAAGGAAGATGAAGGGGAAGAGAACGGAAGAACAGGGCTGGGCTAGGCGGAACCACAGGTCTTCTAGATAAATGAGGTTAGAAGTGTAACACTGAAAGGTTAGGCTAGCTGTCCCTGTACACTCCCATGATCCTGGCTGGCTGAAGCTGGGGGTAGAGCAAGGCGTGAAGACCCTGTGAAGGGCACCTCTCTTTCTGCCTGTCTCATGAAAGAAAAATAAACAAGCAAAATTAAACAGGGGCACATAGTAAAAACACAGGAACTTAATAAAAACTGTACAGCTATACACATATTCAGTGGTTAAGAAATTTATAACTAAGGGGACCAACAGTTAGCATAAAGGCTATGTCGCTGAACTCCCATGTAGTCAACTGTGGTTCGAGTCCCGGACCCGGTGACTTAAACTCACACCGGGTATGTGTGCGTGTGTGCCCAAGATCCCGAGAGGAGAATGGAGCATATGGGATGGCAGTATGGCCATCCCCCCGGGGGATGATTTCTCGCTTTCTGTCTCTCTGTCTCTGTCTTTTCTGGTGAGTGCACGCACGCGCCCTATAGGAAAAACCTCTCCCCCCCCAAAAAAAAAGAAATGTATAACTAAGGACAATGAGCATGGAACTATCTTGTAAAGACCTGGAGTTTGCTTGTCGAAGCAACTTTCAGAAAGGCTACTGTACAATGGCAGAGTTATCTGAAATTGGACAGGAAGTTGCAACTACATATGGATGGGAGGGACGCGTAAGAAAGGGACAAGCTAAAGTAGCCAGTCCAGGGTCAGGTGTGTGTCTTACATG